CGTATTTATAGGAATATATCAGGCTCTGTTTAATGGTCGTTGAAGGTAAAAAAGATTTATTCTCTTTTCAGATCAAATCGTCACATTGATATTTTTTTCTCTTCGTTGGTCAAATAGGAATATATCAGGCTCTATTTAATCGTCGTTGAAGGTAAAAATAATTATTCTCTTTTCAGATCAAATCGTCATAATAGCTACAGAGAATGATACTAGCGTCACAGTTTCATTTAAAGGGTTCGTTCAATGTATCAACATTGGTGCACAAAACAATCTCCAATTTTCAATGGATGCTTACGATGTCATGAATGTCTTTTGTAACAGTGACACGTCAGGTACTTTAATTACGTCATCAAAACCCATTGCTGTGATAACCGGAAGTAGACAGTTGCAATTACACAATTTCTACGTTCGCGGAGTAGTTATGGAAATGCTTCCTCCTACAACAGAATTTGGAACTGAATTCGTTTTTGTAACCCCTCACGGACATACTGGTGGAACATCGATTCGCATTATTAGTGAATTTGGCTGGCAAACTACTATATTTAACAATATTTATAGCAACACACCTAGACAACCATCTGATATAATTATTAACCCAGGCACATATCTATGCTTTACCACAAGTCAGCCAGTGCTTGTTGTAGTCTTCATGACAGCACGTACTTCTTACCAATATCCCACAGATACAGGGAATGCCTACATGATGGTCATTCCCCCAGTTACTAAATTTAGCAACCAGTACGTCATACCAATGGATATATTCGGACAATATGGATACAATAACTACTATAACCGCGTGGATGTGATCGGCAAGTCACCAGTGAATGGACTAGTACCTGCATTGCCGTATTTTGATATGTGTCCTGGATACGAAGCAAGTAGTTCAACCGTCTCATTGAGTGGAACCATTGAATTTACAGCCAACTCGCAATTCATAGTGCTAGTTTATGGGTTCATTTACAGAGATGCGTTTGGGTTTCCAGGAGGAATGAAGTTAACCGATTTTTCAGGTACATAATTGATAGAAAGCATCCACATTGATCTTCCCACACCTTTTATACTAAAATGTAAAATACCAAATGAAAAATCCTAAGCATCATTAATTATCACATAAGTATGATTTGGAGTCAATGCTTCTCAACAGGGGGGATTTCCTCTCCAAGGGGGGGAATTGAAGACCGTGAGTTGGAATTATTGGGTTGGGGAAATTGGAAGGAATCGTCGGACAGTAAAGGAAATGGGAGGCAAGGTGATCTACGACTGAAATTGACATCATTCATGCCGGACAGACAGAAAATCATGAACGAACTAAGAACTATCACCATATGATGAGTATGATCTTATTTTCATGGTTAATCGTTACAAAATGACTGTTTTATTTTGGGGAGGAATAGATTTGGAAGAACTCTTTCGGGGAGGAATGATCTCATTGAGGTTGAGAAGCACTCTTTCAGACCATTGAGTTTAAAACCACAACCCTCATCAATAGATCGGAAAGTTCACCAGTATTTCGTTGTTTGATTTTAGGTACTGAAGAATGTTCTAGTTCACCGTGTTTAAATGAAGGATGGTGTGTAGAAACTGCTCTATCTTATAAATGTCACTGTTCAGATACCAGATATACTGGTCAACATTGTGAAACAGGTGCGTGTTATTACTCAATGATTTTCGGGGTTCGGCTTTGTGGATTTTTTAACAATTTTTGTCATCAGGAGCTTGGCATATGCCATTTTTCTCCTATTGTTTATAATGTTGATAAACATATTTTTAAACCATGCTAGAGGTTCCTGGACAGAAAACGCATTTGCTACTTTATCAATACTCTATATTGATCGTGAGTCCATTGCAATATAGTCATGTGACATTGAACATACATTACAATTGTTCACTGGAATACATAATTTGTCAATTGTGATCAATTACTGATCCATTCAAGTTGACGATGAAAGGTGAATGAAGTCAACACATGTAAACATACGATCAAAGACAGTTCCCGAGGTCATTTCCTATCTTATAGATTCAACAGATTCAAAAGAGGTTTTTGCCCAATTAAAGAGTACTCTTGAAGGTCAACACTAAAGACATGCAGGTGTATTATTGTTATTTACAGTATGACGTCTGGGACGAAGTATTACGTTAACATCGTTAACCAGTTTTTGGTTAATATTTTATATTTTTTTCATTCATTCTAGATACTGTAAATGACTGTGATCCCAACCCATGTATTTTTGGAATCTGTAATGATCTTTCTGGTTTCTACACGTGTAGTTGTCATATTGGATACATTGGGTATAACTGTTCGACAGGTAAATCATTTTTACATGTTCACATGTTGGTTGTTTCTTACTGAACATCTACAAGTACAACAGAATTGAAAATTAAAAGCCCACCGTCGATGAAATTAATTTGGCTGTTTCTTTAATTTCAGTTCAAGACACAATTTCTCAAGAACATACAACTATAGCCACAACAACTCCAGAACAGACAACTCAAGACACAACAACTCAAGAACAGACAACTCTAGAAACTACAACTCGAGAGCAGACAACTCTAGAAACAACAACACAAGAACAGACAACTCAAGAGACAACAACACAAGAACAGACAACTATAGCCACAACAACTCAAGAGCAGACAACTCTAGACACAACAACTCAAGAACAGACAACTCTAGAGACAACAACTCAAGAACAGACAACTCTAGAAACAACAACACAAGAACAGACATCTCCAGACACAACAACTCAAGAACAGACAACTATAGACACAACAACCCAAGAACAGACAACTCTAGAGACAACAACTCAAGAACAGACAACTCAAGAACAGACAACTCTAGAAACAACAACACAAGAACAGACAACTCCAGACACAACAACTCAAGAACAGACAACTCTAGAAACAACAACACAAGAACAGACAACTATAGCCACAACAACTCAAGAACAGACAACTCTAGACACAACAACTCAAGAACAGACAAACTCTAGACAGAACAACTCGAGAACAGACAACTCTAGAAACTACAACTCGAGAACAGACAACTCTGGACACAACAGCTCAAG